CTACGCGGTGAAACCTTCGTGGTGCACTCAACGCGGTTGAATATGCGCGGTGCAATCTACGCGGCGTAATCCACGTCGCGCCATCTAGGGCGGCGACGGGGCGGCGACGGCGGCCACGTAGCCGCCAGACCGACGATACGGCCCAATTCCTTGCAAGAGAAGTAAGAACCCTCAAATACAAACGCTGTTTGGATAATGTGCCTATGTAACTACCCATACATAGACAGAGAGAGAGAGAGAAACAAAAGAGATATATATATATATAGAGAGAGAGAGAGAGAGAGAGAGAGAGAAAACAACAAGAACATATACATTGCGACATAAATAAAAATGAATAAACATACGAAGCAGAGAACGTGCAAGCGAAAGGTAAAGAGGAAGAGAAACAGAGAGAGGGAGAGAGAACACGAGATAGAAAACAATAACAAAAATGGAAACGAAAAGAAAAAGAGAGGGAGAAACAGAGAGAGAGAGGGAGAGGGGGAGAGAGAGAGAGAGAGAGAGACAGAGAGAGACAGAGAGAAAAGAGAGAGAGAGAGAAAGAGACAGAGATAAATTGCGACACATAGAAAAAGAAATGAACATACAAAACAGAGAACGTGAAAGAGAAAGGTAAAGAGGAAGAGAAACAGAGAGAGAGAGAGAGATAAAACGAGATATAAACAATAAAAACAACGGAAACGAAGAGAAAAAGAGAGGGAGAAACAGAGAGAGAGGGAGAGGGCGCTGCCGGCGGCGGCGGCGGCCGCGGCGGTGACGCCGACGTCGACGACGGCGGCGGCGAGGGCGGCGCTGGCGGCGGCGGCGACCCCCGCGGTGCGCTCCACGGCTGCGGCGGGTGCCGTGCCGCTCTCCGCCGCCTCGGGCGCCGCCGCCGGCGCCGGCGCCCCGGCCTCGGCAGGCGCCCGCCGGCGACGCCGCCGCCGCCGTGGCCGTGGCCGTCGCCGCCGTGGCCATCGCCGTCGTCGCCAGATGGCGGCTGTCGCCGCTGCCGTCGCGGTCGTCGCCGCGTCCGCCGCCGTCGTCGTCGTTGCCGTCGTCGTTGTCGTCGTCGCCGTCGCTGCAGCTCAGGGCGTCTCATGCTTAGCCAACGGCGTGCGGAGGCTCACGAAGCTGCTACTCGCAGGTCGAGCGGAGCCTCTCGTCAGGGGGGGCCTGGAGAGGGAAACACAAACATCAGAGTGAGGGGGCTGAACCGAACGGTCATTCACTGTCCCTGGGTGCGTGGCTGAAGTGGAATTCCGCGATGCAAATTCTCGTTGTTGTTGTTGCTGTTGTTGTTGTTGTTGCTGTTGTGTTTGTTGTTTGTTGTTTGTTGTTTGTTGTTTGTTGCTGTCGTCGTCCCACCCGCGACCCGCCCCGCGACCCACCCGAGACCCACCCGCAACCCACCCCGCGACCCACCCGCGACCCACCCGCAACCTACCCGCGACCCACCCGCAACCTACCCGCGACCCACCCCACGACCCACCCGCGACCCACCCGCGACCCACCCCGCGACCCGCCCGCGACACACCCCGCGACCCACCCGGCGCTCATCCGCGAGACCCACCCGCGACCCACCCGCAACCCACCCCGCGACCCACCCGCGACACACCACGACCCACCTGCAACCCACCCGCGATACACCCAAAATTTTCGGCGCATGCGGCGGGCTGTTTTTGAATTACCTCCAGGTGGAAATGGAGAGCCCGCGATCCACCCGCGACCCACCCGCGACCCACCTGCGACCCAACCCGCGACCCACCACCGAGATCGTTTTAACAAAAAATCGGCGCCTGCGGCGGGCTCGTTGTATAGCTTGAACATGTTGCGCCGGCGGCGGGCTTCTTCGGAGCCTCGCAGACTGCAAACGTCCCCGCCGCCCCCTCACTCTTATCCGCAACTGCGGGGTGCTACGTACACGAAGAACGCCCTATTAAATGTTCGATGCTTGAACCTGTAAGCGTCTGCACGAGTTGCTTTCGTAGCGCGCGCCCCTCGCTCGTCGTGCATGTATGTTCGTGCGCACGTGTGTACCAACGCTGATGAAGGAGCCCTGGGACACACATATAAATAGACACAAATAAAATGATTCCCCATATTTCCGCATATTTTCAGGTTGTTGTCTTCCCCCCCACTTCCCATATTTTCCAATATTTTTTGGGAATCGACGATTGATTGTGTCTGTGTGTTTTTTCCCTCCCGGGCTGAGTTGCCTCATTGGCGCAGCGTCTTGATCGGTCACCGCGCGTCGGGCGCTGCTGGCAAAGCCTCCTGGTGCCCGGAGCGCCCCCGCCGGCCGACGCGAGTACCCGAACTGACCCAGCAACCCGTAGGTCGGGCACGTCCCCTTACAGGCAGATTGTAGACGAACAAAGAAAAACAAATTACCCCAAAAATGCCCACAACTTGTTTATATATCTAATATATATATATATATATATATATATATATATATATATATATATATAATATATATAAAAAAAGGTCGTATGAAAAGGGTCGTCCCCAGACAATGTTTTGACTATTTTTGAATATCCCCCCTGTAGAGGGACACGCCCGGCTTAAAACAGCCCGCATATCGACGATGCAAGGAGATTGGCACCAAATCGAGCCCCAGAAAGCCGCATACAACTCGTCGGCCCAACGGGCTAAGGGCGTCCAAAGATCTCTGGTGACTGGTTAACAATGTTCTAGCTCGAGCACGCGGGGCCGCCCCACTGGGGGTCCCCGGACGAAAATATGCCGGCAAGGTCCCGGCAAGGTCCCTGGCAGGTCCCGGCCATGTCCCAGCAGGCTCCCAAGAGCGTTCTAGGAGCGCTTCAAATGGCCTCCAAGAGAGCTCAGCATGGCCCGAAACGGCTCCAGAGGATTCCAGGACGCCAAAGATGGCCTCCAGACAGCCCAACGCACAAAGAGGCCTCCAAGAGACCTCCAAAAAGGCCAAGAGGCGTCCCAAAGCGCCCAAAACGGCCCCAGAGGGCCCCACGACAGCCCCAGAGAATTCCAAGATGGCCGAAGGGGCTCCCAAGACGGCTCCAAGAGCGGGAACAAACGAGGGATCCACGGACATGTCGAGCTCGAGGCGTAGAGAGGTCCCCTGGAGGTCCCACAGAGGCAGATTAGCGATGTTCCTTTCATTTTTGAAACATTTTGGCGTTCTCGCCTTGGGAGCATACAGGCGCTCCAAATCGACCCAAGAGGCTTCCAGGATCGCCCCAACACGACCCAAGAGGCCTCCCAAAGCGCCAAAAACGGCCCCAGAAGCTTCCAACATGGCCGAAGGAGCTCCCAAGACGGCTCCAAGAGCGGGCCCAGACGAGGGACCCGAATTGACATGTCGAGCTCTAGGCGCAGAGAGGTCAAGAAGCCCGCAAGAGGCTCCCAAGAGATCCCGAAGAGGCCCCCAAACACCCCCAAGAGCTCCCAAGATGACGCCCCAGGAGGTCCCAGAAACACCGCCAGGAGAACCAACTAGAAGCTCCCAGAGGCCCCCAAACGGCCTCCAAGAGGCCACGAACGCGCAGGCAAACGCCTGCGATGGCACAATACGGGCCAGCGGAGTGAGCGAAACGATTAAATAAATCTCCTCGGCGTTTCCTTGCGCCACCCTCCGACGAAATAACATGAGCGCCTGCGTCGTTCATTACCCAGCCAGCCCGCCGACAGCGCAACGGGAGTTTTGGAGCGGTCGCGAGATTTCCTGGCAGCGCGCCCGCGGCAATCTAGGGGCGGCCCCTCGCTGCAACAGTATAGTTTTCGACCCCTGCGCGCGCGGCCTCAATGCCCAAGGCAGTCTTCGCAATCCCAATGGCGCCCCGAGGCGGCCCAATATCGCCCTAAACGCATCCTTACTCTTGTCGCCCCAGCCTCCGGCCGTTGCCCTTCGCGTCGGCGTGAGCCAGGGCCTTAACACCCATTCTCAGCTCAAGCGCAGCCCCGCTGTTATCTTTAGCCTTGCCGCGCAAGCCCTCGGCCTGAACCCCAACTTGCAGCCACAGCGTCAGCCGTGGCATTCTCACTCAACGACAGCCTTGGCTTCCTGCCCCCCAGCCGCGGTCGGGCCACGCCGCGGGCAACGCCCGCCCCTCCGCCGCGCGCGCAAGTTGCTCAGCCAGGCGAAGAGCCAATCCTTTACATCTGTTCGAAGGCAATCACCTAAACCCACTGAAAGCCAATCGCCAACATGAAATGAAAATCCCCGCCACCGCCCGGGCGATCCCGAAGGTTTGGGCGGTGCGTTCTGCTTGTTGCTTGGTCATGGGAGAACAGGAACGGGAACGGGAACGGCCTGCATCGTGCACCGCGCGGGTGCTGCAGGGTGAGGCCGAAGCGCCCAAAACACTAGAACATTCCGGCCATGCGCTCACTGTCCGGAGTCGGTAAAAGGTGGGATCCAGAACAGATTCTGTCGTAACGGCGCTGTCCTCGGAATTGCGGCCGCTTCGTCGCAACCAGATTCTGTCGTAACGGCGCTTACCTCGGCAAAGCTGCCGAATCGTCGTAACCTTGATTTGTGGGTCGCACTAGCCAGATTCTGTCGTAACGGCGTAGCCAGATTGGTCATGGAAGAACACCCGCTTAAACGGAAGATGCGTGGGGGTCGATCTCAGCGGCCCGAGAGGTTTGGGGCGGCGCCCGCGCGGGGGGGGCTCGAACCCTGGGCGGCTTCGGGCACGGGCAGGCGTGCCCACATTTGCGCGCGCCCCACCCCTACCCCCCTCTCGCGCGCACGCTCGCGCGCATCCGCCATCCCTCCTCGCCCAGGTTCTCCTCCTCCTCCTCCTTCTTCCTCTTCCTCTTCCTCCTCCTCCTCCTCCTGTTCCTTCTTCTCCTCCTCCTCCTCCTCCTCCTCCTCCTCCTCCTCCTCCTCCTCCTCTTCGACCTCGCCATCGCCCCACCCCCCCGTTCCCATGAATCGTCCGCCCTGCGGAATTAAATGCACATCAACTGCGCACCCCTGAGGCCCATCCTCACCGGGAAGGCATGGGTGAAGTAAACCTGGAAGTTGGTTTCGCACGTGCGGCGCTCTCGGTTTCTGCCCAGCGCGCGCCACTTCCGCGGGCATGCACCATTTTGTTTCTTGTGCCATCCAAGGACCACTCGCTCCCGAAGCGACACCTTCGCGCAGACACCGCGCGGGCCACTGCGACGCTTGGCCACCGTAGTCGTTCGGGCAATATCGGTTTCCATGTCGCGTTGGGGCGGGGACGACGACCTCGGCCCTAGACTGGTGTTTCCGTCCCGCCGCGGCCCTGGTCCCAACCTTCTGTCTCGCCTGCTTGGCCCCCGAGCATTTGGCCCAAGCCTCGGCCCTTGTCTAGCTTCCTAGCCTGGCCTTCGCCGCGGCCTGCAACTGAAAGTCCACCTTAGCCGTCGCCTTAGTCCGGCCCGCCTGGCCCTCGGTTCCAACCACAATTTTCGGCTTTGGTCCTCAGCCCCATCCGCGGGCAATGCCGCCCGCGGGCAGAAGAACGCCGCGCTCATGCAATATCGTGCGACCCACGGGCGTTGCCACCTACGGGCAGATGCGTGCAATCTACGGGCGGTATTGCGCCACAGATGCGCGCCGCCTCCAGGCAATGTTGCGTCACCCACGGACAGCGCCACCAACTGGCAATACCGTGCCACCCGCGGGTAGTGCCACGCACTGGCAATAGTGCGCCACCCGCGGGTAGTGCCACCCACGGGCAATATGGCGCCACCCCCGGGCAGTGCCACGTACGGGCAGAAGCGATCCACCTACGGGCAATATTGCGCCACCCACGGACAGCGCCACCAACGGCAATATGGTACCACCCACGGGCAATTTTGCGCCACCCATGGGCTGTGCCACCCACTGGCAATATGGAGCCACCCACGGGTAGTGCCACCTACTGGCAGATGCGTGTCACGCGCTGGCAGTATTGCGCCACCTGGGGGCAATGTCACCAGCGGGCAGATGCGTGCCACGCACGGGCAAGTTGGTGCCACCTATCGGCAATGCCACACACGGGCAGACCGTGCCTTCAACGGGCAACACACAAGCTTCACCGGTGCACAGTCGCGGCCTTGGGCGGCGCCCCCCCCCACCCCGACACACACACACACACACACACACACACGCACACGCACACACACAGACAGACACACACACACACACACACACACACACACGCACACACACACACTCGCACATGCACACGCACACGCACACGCACACGCACACGCATACGCACACGCACGCACCCGCACCCGCACCCGCACACACGCACACACGCACACACGCACACACGCACACACGCACACACGCACGCACACACACACACAAACACACACACACACACACACACATTCGCGCGCTCGCCCGTGCAAGCTGGGCGGCCTGCGCGACGCCTCGCGCCCACCGCTTTGGCACGCGTCGCCCCGACCCGCCGAGCGCCACGCGGCACCCGCGTTTCGCCTAAGCATGGGGGCTGGGGTGGGGGCGTTCGCCCCGCCGTTTCGCGCCGGCGATCAATGTTGCACGATGGTCGCCCACAACGAGGTTGAGGCACCTGGACTGTGACCGAAGCTCAGCCCAGGGATAGTGACCCAAGCTCAGTCCACATTTGCGGACCTGGGGTCAATCCAGGGGCACTGGTCCACGCGCGTGCCGCCCCGGGGGAAAGATCCTGAACTGAGCCTGGATCACAGCCCTTGGGCTGATCGGGGATCTTCTGACCCGAGTCAATCCAGACCCGGGTCAGCAGGAAACCAAAAACTGCAATGCAGGAAAAAAAACTGCAGCGCAGGCCTTCGCAAACCCGGGTCAGCCAATACGCGCGGCCGTCTCGCGGCCACGAGCAGCTCGCTAACCCGGGTCAGCCAACGGGGGTCTTCGCAAGATCCGGTGCCCTGGCTGACCCCCGTCTGCACTGACCCCCGTCTCAAGGCTCCCGGGCTGAGCCCGAATCAGAATCCCCGGGCACACCCTGGACCATGATGTACACATGATACCCGGACGGGGCCAGCGCCGCCCTCGGAGGGCCCCAAGCAGGTTCTAAGAGGGCCCTGGGAGCGTTCGAAGAACCCCTCCGGGCTGTCGCTGTGACGGGCGCCCAACATGACGATTCGAAGGATCCTATTGAAACCCGTTTTGAGTCGTGTCGGGGCCCTTTCGGAGCGGGGCCATTGCAAGGTTCCCCCACCGCCCTACGAAGGCCCCCCGAAGGCTCCAAGAGGCCTCCAAGAGAAGCCCGAGCATGCCCTCAGAGCACCCTCAACTAAGTTATGATACTGTCTTGAAGCATCAGCGCCGCCCTCTTTGAGCCCCCCGGGGCTCTCCCAGGCTATCTTGGCCCAAAAGGGCTCCGAGAGGACCCCAAGAGGGTTTGGATATGCTCACGCATGACATGTCGGACAACGCCAGTGCGGACTGAGAAGGCAGGACAGACCAAACAAGAGACGACCTTGACTATAACCAACCACTCGCACACCACAGCCGTCATCGTCACCTCCGCCTCCGCCTCCGCCTCCTGCCTGTGCTCCGCGAGGGACGGCAAGGTCCTCAGGGAGAACCCGGGCGCAACCTGGGATCTGGCAGGAAGCGCGCATCAACCTGGGCACATACACGTCACAGCCACAAACAGCTCGCCCCCGAAACTAAAAAAAACAGCCCTACCACCACCACCACCGAAGCGCACACGTCACGACGTTTGCGTGTCAATAATGCACAGGGGCCACCGACTAATATCATGTGACAGCCTGGCACTTAAACAGAAACGCGTATGGTTGTGGGGCTGGGACAAAGAACGAAACCACTCAACGCTCAGTCTGTAAGGGCTTGGGGCGGCTTGCCTGCCGCTCATGGCGACAAGTCGGCTCGCTGAACAATATAGAACCACCAACGGATTAATAGACCCGTAGTAAGCCGCCCCCGAGGACGAACTTCGTAGGATCGCCGCCTAGCACATCAACAGCCACCCGACGACTGTGGATGGCACAGCACTGATTGACACGAGACTCCTTCTGTACTGGATCCGTTTATGAGCCGACGCCACAGTGCCCGTAACGGGCACCGAGTTGTACCTGAAGGAAACGTAGGGTCCCCCCAAAGAACACGAATCACGGCACCCGCCCCATACGGCTCAGACACCGACGCTCGTTGACCAAACGAGTCCCCAGGCTGCTTCCCCAGGATCCGCAACTGACACTCTTGCCCAAGCTGGAGTCTCAGCTGACATTGACGCCCCAGCCGAAACTCCCACGGAGGGAAAAGCCTGAGCCCCAGCGCGGCGTAATGATCCTGGAGAGTGTGAGCACTCCCGCCACCCCACGAACCTGATGGCTTAGAGGATGGCCGACCCGAGCACAATCAAGAGAACTCAAACACCGCAGCACTCGACCATACCTCTCCAGCGCCACTACTGGGGGCACCCCGAATGGGGTTGGGGCCAGCCGCGCCTATTGCCCTCATCACTCCAAACACACACTCTGGAGGCCCAACTATGTAATCGGCGTCACCTTTTATATGGATAAACACCATCACCACATTTCCATCCTCGCAAGCAGCGGCATTCCGCGAATCTCGGTTTCTATCAAAGGGAGTTTGGCTTATGTGTTTGTGTCTTATCGAGGTACAGGTGGTGGGCTGCGTGAGGTGCGCGGGCGTGCAGTGAAACGTACAACTTACTGGGCGGGCAAGCGAAGCCTGACGCGTGCGAAACATGCAGGGGTGCTTAGAGCCGATCCCGGTCCTGATCAAGAAAACGCCTGGCTTCAGAATTTCAGCACACCTGGGGTTGGTCTCACCCCTGGCCCGCCCGCAAGCTTGGACCATAGGCTGTATGTAAACGACCATATCTGGCAAGCCTTTACGCCAACGATTGGACCCAACCAGTTCATTCGTGCGAACGATTGTGGGGCCTCAACCTCAGGTATGCGGAGCTCCGTGCGTGTGGCGCTCCATGTGCGTGTGTGTGGCATTCTGCGCCAAGCCTGAGAAAACCACCGCGCACGTCCCCAGACCGCCCGAAACATCCATCTCCGAGGCCGAAGACAACGGAAGAAAACAGCAAACGACGAATACGACGACGATGGCGGCAACGACGACGACGACGGCGCCGACGGCGGCGACGGCCGACGGCCGACCGCCGACGGCGACAACGACGACCACGACGACAACGACGACGACAAACGACCACCACGACGATGAAGACGACAACCGCAACGGACGACCACCACGGCGACGACGACGACGACGACGACGACGACGGCGACGACGACGGCGACGACGACGAAGACGACGACGACGACGACGAAGACGACGACGACGAAGACGACGACGACGACGACGACGACGACGACGACGACGACCGACCGAGCTACGACCGCGGACCGACCGAGCGAGAGCGAGCGACAACGACAACCCAGCGCAGACGGCGGCGGCGGCATCCCTGGGCGGCTGGGGCGGCCGTGGGCGCGGCAGCGATGGCCGCGAAGGCCGGCGCCGCCCCCGGCGCGGGGATGAGGCCCTCCTGCGGCGGCGTCGTCGTCGCCGCCGCCGCCGAAGTCACGGCGGCCGTCGTCGTCGCCGCTGTCGTAGTCGCTGCCGACGTCGTCGGCGTCGTCGCCGCCGCCGTCGTCGCGGCTGCCGTCGTCGCCGTCGTCGTCGCCGCAGTTTTCGGTCACGCGCGCGCCGCGGGGGAGTGAGGCGGAGGAGGAGCAGGAGGAGGAGCAAAAAAAAATACCAGGAAATCGGCCGATCTGGCGCGTGAACTATAAGGAGCCTAAAGCTTCAGCTCTGAACCTAAGCAACAGCTTCAGCTCTGCTGTGGGGGGGGTCGCCGGGGTGGCTTTGGCGGGGAAGGGGGGGAGGGGGGGGAGGGCGGCTTCCCCGTCTGGCGTTGTCTTCATGATTTGCGCCCGGACTCCGGACCCCTCCAGGGGAAGGGGGGGGAGGGGGGGTGGCGGTCCCCCATCTGGCGTTTTCAATGAATTGCGCATCCCCAAAATGTTTCGGGGGGTCCCAGGGACCCCCCCCAGTTCTATCCGCTAATTACCGCCCCCAGACCCCCCCTCGGAACCCTCCCCAGACCCCCCTGGGACCGCTCCAGGCACCCCCCCAAAGGAGAAGAAAGGAGACCGGAATAATCGAGGAGGGAGGAGGCCACAGAACCGCGAAGATCACCGAGTCCAGAGCGCCCCAGATCGGCGGCATTGGCCGGAGGCCATTACAATATCAGGAGGCGCGCCATGGTGCGCGGGTCAGAGCCTGCGACAGGACCCCGGCAAACCCCACCCAGGGTGAACGAACGGTACAGCAGCGCGTGTTAGTCGCTGTCAACAGAGCCACTGCTGTCTGCATCCGTGGGCGACGCAAGAGGTCGCTCAACCGCGTCAGCCCGCGGGCGCAAAGACGCGGCGACGGCGGCAGGGCAAATCTCCTCGAGACCTTGCTGCCGCTGGCAGTGGTTCGCGGCCCGCGCACAAACATCACCTGCAGGATGGGCGGGGGGCCTCCAGCCAGACGGGCATGGAGGAGGCCAACTCCTGCGGGGCCCACGCTGCCGACATGGCCAAGTATTAATCGACAGATAGAAGCCGCCCAACCCACCCTGCGCTCCGAAAAGGAGCGCCGCAACGTCAGCAGCACGCGCGTCGCGCGCGCAGGCCGTGATGCCCGTGGCCCCATGGAAATCACCTCCGTCGTTTTTGGCAAGGCCATCCCTGTCCTCGCGCTTGGTTCCCAAGCACTGGGCGCTGAGCGTCGCGGGTTTTGCGTGGCCGTCGTGCCACAGCAGCGGCGACGTAACAGTTCAAGCTTGAACGCGCAGCGCAATCGGTGGTGGTCGTGGAGCCCCCTGCCGCAAACAGAATCGGCGCCGGAGACAGCAACGATGGCTTCGCCGTCGGCAGGCGTTCGCTCCTTGGGATCGCAGGGCGCGAGGGCAGCAGAGGATGGTGGACTCGCCCCTTCGCGCTTCGCACACCTGCACTTGCTGCCGTTGCGCTCGCGCCGACTGGCCCCGAGGGTCCGCCGGGGCCTGCCTGGCCCCCTATAGGCTCGGCCGACGACGGCCTCTCGCAGACCCCGGGGTCTGCAGCCGATGAGCCAGCCAAAACTCCGCGCGCCCCGCGCCCGACGAGGGCGCGCCGTGCGCCGCGAAGGTCAGCGGGGGGCGCGGCTCCGACGAGGGCCTGCCCCCTGGCGCTGTGGGCGGCGACCCCCGCCCACGCATCGGCGCAGGCGCTGTCGACGGCGAGGAATAGCTCGCGCAGGTCGCTGTGAAGGCCTGCTTCGCCCTCGCTGCGCGAGGGCCCCTGCGGGGCCTCGGCCTGCTCGACGCGCGGGGCTGCTGCAATCTGGGCCCCCCGCCGCGCGTCGGGGCGCGCCCCCGACTCAGGCGACGACGTCGGCCAGCCCTCCACCGCCGCATCGGGGGCGGCGGTCGGCGACGAAAACAACGCTCCCGATCGGCGATCGGGAGCTCGAGGGCGAAGGCGAAAGCATTGAGCTCAGCGCGGGGCGCTGTCTGAATACGGGCGCTCCAAGCCCGCGGGCGCGCCGCCCCCCGACGCCCCCGTCTACCTCAGCGGCGCCCGAGAGCGACGGCCGCCGCCCCCGGGCGGCGGCGGCGGGGGCCCGAGCTGCATTGGCCGCCCGAGCCGTTTCAAAGATGGCCAGCCGGCCGCCCTGGTCTCTGCGCCCCCCGAGCCCCGCCCAATTCAGCTCCGACCGCCGCCCCCCCCCCGCCGCCCCGCGGTGGGAAAGACTGGGCGCGCGTCAGCTTTCGAAACACCTCCGTTAAGCCAGTAGGCAACCTGGGACTCCGCACAAGCAATCAGGGATGGAATGCAAGAGTCAAGCCCCGCGTAGCCCTCGTGGTCCGCGTCAAGCGGGCAGAGCCGCGCACGGCGCGCGAGCGTCTCCTCCGCGGCCCCGCACCTCCGGCGCGCGGCGTCAATCTGGCAGCCCGCGCCCGCGAGCCTGCGCCTGGGCCCACTGCCCGCCGGCAACCGCGCGCAAGTTGAGGGCCCGCAGGCCGGGATCTCCGCATCATGTACTTGGCCGTCTCGTTGAGAATAACAATGGCGTCGGGGCCGCCCCTATCGACGCCCCCCCCGTGAACTTGCCTGGCCGCAAATTTCCACGGGCTGCTCTGGGCGGCGCCGACGAACTCGCGGGCGAGCTCGGCGGGGTCGCGCCTGGCCCACCCAGTCGCCCATGCAGATATGGGAAAGGCCCACGTCTGCTCGTTCTCCGCGCCCCACGCAGGCCGCTGGCTCCAGTCGCGCGGCGGCGGGCGCTGCCGCCCCGCATCCGCGGGCACGGCCTGCGCGGCACTGGCGGGGCCCGCGACCTCGGAACACCTCTCGCGGCCGAGATCAACGGCCCCAATTAAATTACGTCGCCGAGCCCGGGCGATCCCCGGGGGGCGCTGCGGGTTGTCAAGCCAGCGCCGGAGCCACTGAGAGATGATCTGCCTTCACATCTCGATCGCGGGGCCCTTGCCCCCCGCCATGCGAGCGCCGCGGCGCGGCGCCTGCCAGGTGCCCTGCCTCCCGTCGACTGTGCTGTTTGCTTGCGGAGCTTAGGGGTCGACGATGGCGCCCGCCCCGTGATGCGGCGCCCGCTGGTGTCCTGGGGGCGCGAGCCCGTTGTCCGCGGGCATTGCGCGATCTTGGCGGGCGATGCGTGCTTTCGAAGATTGCCGAGTATGCGCCTGGTCCTTGCCGTCGCCGACTTGGCCCGCCGTTCTGCTTTGGAGACGGCCCCGCGCATGGGCGCCGCCGCGTCGACGCCGAGGCCGACGCGGCGGCGGCAGACCTTCGCGCGGCAGCCCTTCTGATCCCCACTCCCAGAAGGCGTCGTGGATCGAAGGCGCAATCCTGGGGCTGGATGCGACGATGGTGGTCTTCGGAGGGACCTCCACTCCGCGTTGAGCATGCCGTCGCAAAAAGTCGGCGGCCACAACCGCGAGGCCCCTCAGCACGAAGTCCTCGGAGCCCTCGCATTTGGCCGCCGCGTCGTCCACGAAGGCCCAGAGGCCCACATAGGAGTAGTCGTTGTGGGTTCCAGATAGGACGGGGCCAAGGCACACCGTCGCCAGCCCGCCCCCGCGCGCGCTGCCCGCGACGATGGAGCGGGCGGGTTCGTTCATGCTGCTGGCCCGGCGGCGCATGCGAAGGCGCCTCGGGGCGAAAAAGAGCTCCATCTCGAGCGGGGCGCTGCTCCAGGCGCGCTGGAGCCTTTGATGGCTGCGCTGCGTCCCAGAGCTCTCCCAAGCCCCGGGACCAATGGTCGGCGATGGGGGCTCGGATATTGTTCCAGGCGGGTCGCATCCCAAGCGCGCCTTCCTCCAGCGGGCTTGGGTGCCAGCTCCCCAATGGTGCCGTAGGTCTGCTGAGGCCATAGCCCGCGAGACTCGATCTCGTGGTAGAAATCAGCCAGCCATGCGATGCCGTCGTCAAGTGGCCTCTGGGTGCACACTGGCCCGACATTATCCACCCCTCTGGCCTTCTTAGGGTTGGCACCGCCTTGATCTGGCCGTCTTCGATGGTCAATAGCGGACCGCGGCGGGTAAGAGTAAGCCTGAACCTCCGCGAAGGCCTAGTACATGGCGTTCTCGTTGACGCTGGCCTCTGATTTGGGGGTGCGCGGGTCCCTGGTGAACCTGTGCAACTTGCCAGGAGCCTCCTTCCATGCCTGCTTGGCCCCTCCGAAGTAGGTTTTCCTGGATCGCTCCGGCGCCCTTTTCTATGGCCTTGTGCGCCCACGCCTCCGTCGTCGCACATGGGTGAAAAAAGTCCTCCTGGTCACCGAACTCCAGGGTCATCATGGTGGACTTCTACTTCTCAACGTCATGTGGGTCGGTCTTGGAGACAAAATGGTTGGTGTTTATATCGCCTTTGGCTATCTGGTGGATCTTCTCGTCTCTTTCATTCTTGTCAAGCGAAGTGTAATGGAACAGGAGGATGCCAACCTCCTGCCACTACGCAGCCTCGGGGTCCTTGAGGTGAGGTCTGGTCTGCCAGGGGAAGCTCCGAAGTTCTTTTTGCGGCTTACCTTGCATGGGCCCTCCCCATGCACTGCTGCCTATCGATCTGCGGGCTGTTGAGGAGGAGAAAAAGGAGGATAAATAATATTGAGTAAAAGAAGGGGATCGGTGGATGGGGCAGAAGGCAGGGGCAATGGCACCGCCGTTGTGGCTCGCCTGCCAGCCCAGACCTCCTGCGATCGAGGACTCAGGAGAGGCCCGAGGATCGAAGAGACTTGAAAATCGAAACTTCTGGAAGTTTCTAGCCGCTTCTGTGCCTCTGGACCCCTTTGTGGGCCCCACCGCACAAATTGATCCTCGATCTCGGCCTCTGACCCTCCTGAAATCAACAGACAACCGGATCCGACATGATACACCTGTCAGAAGGAATTTGTCGAGGGGTCCGGGGGTCACGCGCCGTACAAAACGCAATGATCCTCCACGTTCCTCGTCCCTCCTTGTTCCTCCTGGGAGGAGGGGGACGAGGAGGTGGAGGAGGGGGAGGGGGATGATGATGAGGAGGAGGAGAAGCAGCAGGAGGAGGAGGAGGAGGAGGAGGAGATGGAGGAGGAGGAGGAGGAGGAGGAGGAGGAGGAGGAGGAGATGGAGGAGGAGGAGGAGGCGGGTCCCGAGGACTGCGCAGCACGGTGCACATAGAGAGGGATCGAGGGAGGAACACAGACGAGCCCACCGCCGCCCGCTCCAGGGACGACCCACCGGCGAGCGCGGGGCCCTCCGGGAGCGGCCCAGGCACCTCGCCATCGCTCGGACGTCCACTCCCTGTGCTTTGTTTTCGGTCTCGTGCGGGGCTTTTTCGCCAAATGATCAAGGATGCTCCTCGATGGTCCTCGCCGAAGGAAAAATGCACACGTCCGAGCGATGCCAAGCCCAGGCACGGGCACGAGCTCATCGCCCCAGCGGGCAGCAGCGGCAGCCGCGGGGCCTGACGGCGCCCCGTAGAAGCCGTAGCCGTCGAGGAGGATGATGCACGGCAGCGTGTCCTGCTCCACAGGCCGCAGCACCTCGCCGTTGAGGTGCAGCCTGGGACACTGCTGTGCCTCCTGCAGCGCGGCGGCCGCCAGCGTACACGCATGGCCGCCTGCAGTAGGGAAGGACGCAGCACTCTGCTGGCCGCGGGGGTGCGAGCACCACCCCCTACTGCTGCGGCACCTCATCCTGCCCATGGCGAAAGGACATCGGATGGCCACCGCTCTAGACGGGTACTGCGAGAAGCCCAAGGCACAGCCGTGGACATCGAAGACGGACACTGCAGGCAGCCTTGATAACTGCACCACGATCGGCAATTTCCAGAACAAAGCCGCACCTCGTATGCGTGTCGCAGCCAGCAGCACCAGGGAAGAGCGCAACATAGACTCTCACAAACAAGTCTGCGAGCGTCCTTTATCTCCAAATTTGCAACTCCCCACGACACCCATCTGATCGACGCACTGGAGCATGCGAATCTGGCATCGGACCAGTCCAAGAAGGACCACAATCGGAACAAACAACACATATACGATAATGACCTGCGGTAGCTGTGGGATGGGCAAGACAAGGACGCCATTGGAGATCAGCCGGAAGAGACGGAAGGGGTAGAGCGCACGTCGTCACCGCGAGGGTATAGCAATGCGAAACCAGGAATTGCGGCATCAAGGGCTACGTCAGCATGATAGCCTTCAGCGGCTCGCGCTCTGCCCAACTCCAAGTCCTTCTCAAGCAACTCTCTTGCCTCGTCAACAGTCAACAGCGGCTCGTCGGTGTTAAGGAGGACTCGTTCCTGCTCCTCCTCCTCCTCCTTCTCCTCCTCCTCCTTCTTCTCCTCCTCTTCCTCCATTTCCTCCTCCCCCTCCTCCTCGAGTAGAATTATCGCATCAGCGCGTCATCATCATCATCATCATCATCATCATCATCATCATCATCATCAACAGCAGCAGCAGCAGCAGCAACAGCATGATCATCATCATCATCAGCATCATCATCATCATCATCATCATCATCGTCAACATCATCAACATCATCAGTATCATCATCATCATCATCCTCATCATCTTCGTCATCGTAATCGTCATCGTCACCGTCACCATCATCGTCATCATCATCAGCATCATGATCATCATCATCATCACCATCATCATCATCATCCACATCATCATCACAACCACCAACATCATCATCATCATCATCATCATCATCCACATCATCAGCACAACCACCAACATCATCATCATCATCATCATCATCATCATAATCATCAACATCATCATCAACAACCTAATCATCGCTTCCATCCGCGCCATCGTCATCACAATCACCACCATCACTACAGTCAACGTCGCCGTCATCTTGCTCAGCGTCACCACTACCCCATGGCCATCATCATCACCATCAGCAGCATCATCATCATCAGCATCATCATCATCCTCATCACCCTCATCATCATAATCATAGTCATCAGCATTAGCATCAGCATCAGCATCATCATCCGCATCACCAACATCATAGTCAGCATCAGCATCAGCGTCAGCATCGTCAGCATCAGCATCATCATCATCAGCCTTATCAGCATCATCATCCTCGTCATCATTATCATCATCATTGTCAGCATCAACATCATCATCAGCATCGCCATCACACTCATCATCATCATCACCACCATTACCACCACCAACATCAACATCACCATCATCATCATCATCATCATCATCATCATCATCGTCATCATCAGTATCGTCATCATCGTCATCATCGTCATCATCGTCAGCATCATCATCAGCATCGGCATCATCGTCATCATTATCACCATCATCGTCGTCACTATCAGGCCCATCAAGATCATAAACGCTGTGATCATCTTCCTCCTCCTCTTCCTCATCATGATTGTCGTCATCCTCATCATCCTCATCATCACTATGATTCATCATCATCAGCATCATCAACATCCTCATCATCGTCAGCATCATCACCGTCATCATCACTATCATCCTCGTATCATCATCATCACCATGAGCATCATCATCATCAGCATCCACATCATAATCGGCATCATCATCATCATCAACATCACCATCACCACAACGACCAACATCATCATCATCATCAGCATCATCATCATCATCAGCATCATCAGTATCATCATCATCATCATCATCATCATCATCATCCTCATCTTCATCATAAGCAGCATCGTAATCATCATCAACACCAGCATCATCATCACCAGCATCATCGTCATCGTTACCATCATCATCATCCTCATCATCATCAGCATCATCAGCATCATCATCACCATCATCACCACCATCACCACCATCATCATCACAAACCCTTCCACCACCGCCACCACCAGTACCACAACCATCATCATCATCATCATCATCACCACCATCATCATCATCATCATCATCATCATCACCATCATCGTCAGCATCATGTCACCCCGTGCTCCTCCCTCCTCCTTCCCCGTCGTCATCCTTCTCTTCCTCCTCCTCCTCCTCAGCCTCTTCCTCATCATCATCCATCTCTACTTCCTTCACCTTCATCCCGCACCTCCTTCTCCTCATCCTCGTCTCTCATCCTTTTTGTTGCTCTCTCCCTCCCTCGGATCCTCAGTCAGCAGCTGCTGGATGGGCATGTGCCGAACCACCTCGTTGATACGGTAAACGAATAGGCGGCCGTTCATCGTGTGCAGGGTCACCTACCGCCCGCCAACTGCCTTTGTCATATCCGTCACCGTGCCCCCTGGCCCGTCGAGTCATACTCCATTCTCTACTTTCGGATGCGTACTCTCTATGACAGATACTCTATCAACCTGACCGTGATCGCAACATCGCTTTGTCGCTCCCTGTCTCCCTCTCTCTCTCTCTCGCTCTACTCAAACCTGCTCTTGATCCTCTGGTATACTCTCTCTCTCTCTCTCCTTTGATCCTCTGGTATACTCTCTCTCTCTCTCTCCTTTATCCGCCACAGTGCCCGCTGGCACGCCGAGGTGTGGAATAACGTCTTCGGCAAAATGCCCCCGCAACGAACTGTCGCGTGCACTCTCGAGGCCACGCCTTAGTGGGCCCTGGAAACGACCGGGCGTTTTTTTTACCGGTTCCGTTTTGCCGTTTTTTTGTTGGTTCTGACGCCGTTGTTTTACCGGTTCCGTCGCCGCTTTTTGACCGGTTCCGGCTCCGGTTCCAATCCTGGAGCCGTTTTTTCACCGTTTGCGGTCGCCGTTTTTTGCCGCTTCCATGTTTAAGAGATACTTTTTGGGAAACGGTGAAAAAACGGCCCTGCCGTTTCCGGGGCCCACAAAGGGCCACGCCCTGTCGTGAAAGCAGTGGATCCGCGCTCCCGAGGCCACGATCCCTCCAGGGCCCGGTCGAAGAAGCACTGCATGGCGCGCTCCCGAGGCAGGCTATATTGAAGGGGCCCCAGGACACACAAATAAAGACACACGAGTAAAAAGATTCCCCATCTTTTCCCATATTTTCTGGGTTTTCGTTTTCCCTCCATATTTTCTGGGCTTTTCCTATATTTTCCCATCTGTTCTGGGGGATCGAGGATTCATTGTGTCTGTGTGTGTTTTCCTCTCCTGATATATGGTGTCGGTCCGGACGGCCACGATCCCTGGCAAACCAAGACTGAGGGCCTCGAACGTATCCCTATCCCTAAGATTGACACGCCCAAAGGCGATGACAATCTCAGGGATTCACCCTCAAAAGAAAGGGAATCCCTAAGATTGGAATCGTGATGAGGAGGTGCCCAGCATAGGGATAGGGATATGTTCCAGGCTGGCGAGGTGCACGTGGCCGTGCTCTCGCCCCGCGGGCGCGCCCGACGCAGAAGCGGACACCCCACCGCACTTCGCTCCGTGTGCTCTCGGAGTGCCTTCCGAATTGCGCGCTGTCGCTCGCCAACCTCCTGAGATCCGACTCCTCGATAGGAAGGCACCAACTATACACCAACACCGATCCTGGCCAGGATCGGTGTCGGTGGTGTATCCTGGGCCCAGGGTGATGGTCGGTGTTGGTGTATAGTTGGTGCCCTCCGACTCGACCCATCCCTTCACCGCTGCTGCTCGTGGGCGCTCCGCTGAGCTACCTTTGGAGGATCGGGGTCTTCGGTCCTCCCCGTCGGCGGACAGAGACAGAAGCCGCTGCACGGGAGGGAATGCCATTCCCTCCCGTGAAGCGGATTTTGTCTCTGTATAAACAACGAAAAACCAAAATAAACATTGTAAAATCTGAATAAACAATAGAAAATCATAATTTCTGAATTTCCGGTTAAAAATCTCACTGGCGAATAGATTTCCTTCCCTACAGGATCCTTGAATCATCCTAAGGGAATGGGCGGGCGGGGCAGTCGGGGATCTTCTGACCCGGGTCAATCCAGACGCGGGTCAGCAGGAAACCAAAAACTGCCATGCAAAAAAAAAAACTGCAGCGCAGGTCTTCGCAAACCCGGGTCAGCCAATAGGCGCGGCCGCCTCGCGGCCACGAGCGGCTCGCTAACCCGGGTCAGCCAGAGGGGGTCTCCGCAGGATCCTGCAGGATCTGGCGCCCTGGCTGACCCCCGTCTGCATTGACCCCTGTCTCTTGGCTCCCGAGGCAGGATGTCAGACACGGCGCCGGCGCGCCCAGCTTGCCCCGCTCCCTCTCTCCCTCCCAGGCATGGCCACGGGGGGGCACCCGGGTGGGCCCCCACCCCCGTCACCCGCGGGGGCCCGGGCGTTGTGGTTTGTGGCCCTGGGTCCCCAGTCGCGAGAAACGCCACCCGCCAGACACAGCCTCTTGGAGGACTGGCCGTAAGTCGGGCCTGTCCCCCTACAGGGGGATTTTCGACGAAAAATAAAAAAATACACCAAAAATAAGCAAAAAATAGTCCAAAAATGGTCTGGGGACTATTCTGTGAGTATTTGTTGGCCTTCTTGGGGCACTTCTGGGGTATTGTGTATTTTTCGTCGAAACTCCCCTGTAGGGGGGGCAGGCCCGACTCAAGACTGGCCCCGTGGCGCTCCGCCTCTCCTTCCTCCTCTCCTGCCCCCTCCCCTCCCCCCTCCGCTGCCGGGGGCGGCCGCTCTCGACCCCGCGCGCCCACCTCCTTCCCGCTGGTGCCGAACGTGTACACCCCCTTGCCCTGCTTGCCGATCGTGCAGCGCAGCTCGGGCGGCACCCCCTCCAAGGCCTGCCAGGGAGGGGGAGAGGGGCGGGGAGGAGGGAGGAGGGCGGCGGGGAAGACAACAGCGACGACCACCGGGAGGATGGTGCCTAGGGGGGAGGGGGGAAACAGGTCAGGCGGAGGCGGAAGGTGGGAGGACGAGGAGAAGAAGAGGGAACGAAGAAGGCTGGGGACGGAGGAGCGAGGTGGAAGAAACAAGGAATGAGAGGAGGAGGAGGAGGAGGAGGAGGAGGAGGAGGAGGAGGAGGAGGAGGAGGAGAAGGAGGAGGAGGAGGAGGAGGAGGAGGAGGACGTGGACATCGAAGGGGACGGGGACGACGAAGAGAAGATGGGGGAGCAGAAGGAGGAGAGAGGGAGGCTGCTGCCCGGCCGCCTCCTCCTGCGGGCGGGCCAGAGCTGGCTGGAGCCTCAACGCTCGGCAAGCCGCACAAGAAGCCTCCTCCTTTTCCTCTCCACTCCTCTCCTCCCCTCCATCCTGGCCTCCACTCCTCTCCTCCCCTATCATCCTGGCCTCCTCTCCTTTCTTCTCCTCTCCTCATCCTCCCCTCCACCCCCGCATGCTCCTCCTCCATCCTCCTCCATTTCCCCCGCCTAGTCCAAGTCCACCTCGTACCTCATGGCTCAGCCTCCTCCTCCTTCTCCACCTGCTGTGCAGAAGCCTCTCGATGGACTGCAACAGTGACAGCAGAACCCTCGAGAGGAGGACGAGGAGAAGCAGCATGAGAAGGAAGCAGGAGGGAGGATGGGGGAGAGGGACTGGGGGAGGAGGACTGCTGGGATGTTACCTGCGCCTGTTCCAGCTGGCACGGCGAACAAAACTCTCCACAAGGGAGGAACTGCCGATCGGCTCTCGGCGTTCAAACCGTGTGGGATGATCACGGCGATCATACTGTCAAAGTTTAGCCTTCTGGCCCGAGGTGGCATGGGAGGGTCCTGGCCGGGTGGTGGTGGCAAAATGGGCTGATCTTCGGTTGAGACTACCTTGCCCAAATCCAGCCCGAACAAGACCGGACCATGCCGTGATCGCCTCTCCGGACACCTCCCTCCTTTTTGATCCCTTCCCACATGGCTATGTGGCGTGTCCCCCTACAGGGGGACTGTCGACGAAAAATAAAAAATACTCCCAAAATGCCCACAGAAAGGCAACAAAAATACTCAAAAAATAATCCCCAGACTATGTTTGGACTATGTTTTTTTGCTATTTTTTGTATTTTTGATTTTTCGTCGAAAATCCCCCTGTAGGGGGACACGCCCGACATGACCATATGGCTAAGGGTAGTGCCCCATGGGCAGACCCGGGGTGCCCCCCCCCCCCCCAAAAAAAAAAGCATCGACGCACATGCAAAACGTCAGAAATCCACACCGGCTCCCCTTGGATCGGCGCTGTGGACCTGGACCCCCTTCACTGGCGCGCGGAGGAGGAGGAGGAGGAGGAGGAGGAGGAGAGGAGGCGGAGGCGGAGGAGGCGGAGGAGGAGGAGGAGGCGGAGGCGGAGGAGGAGGAGGAGGAGGAGGAGGAGGAGAGGAGGAGGAGGAGGAGGAGGAGGAGGAGGAGGAGGAGGAGGAGAGGAGCGGAGGAGGGGAGGGGGCCCCTTCTCGCCACGGCCAGCTTCGGCCACGACGGGGCCCCCCGACGCAGCTCCGAGGAGCGGCCCGACGACCGGAGCCCCGTCCTCCCCTCCTCCTCCTCCCTCCCTCCTCCTCCTCCTCCTCCTCCTCCTCCTCCTCCTCCTCCTCCTCCCGAGAGCCCCGTCCAGGGCCCCACGTGGCCGTTCCCTCCACGCCGTCTGCTGCAGGCGTGCGCGGCTGACTCCTGAGCCTGCTCCGGCCGATGCCGACCTTCGCAGAGATGGCTGCCGCCCCCTTCTTCGTTCCGCTGCGTGCTCCCACCGCCCGGGCATCGCTGCTGGATGCGTCACAACGTTTCGCGCTCTCACGCGTGGGCGGGACAGCGGGCGATCCGGGCCGCCTGGCACGGCCCGCGGCGCCGAGGGCACGGGGGAGCCGCGGCCGCGGACGACGGGAGCCGCGCGCACCGAGGTGGGCGATGCGGGGCAGCTCGTGGGTCCGTCCCGCCCCCGACGCGGGGGGGCAGGAAGGTTGCCCTGCTGATCTCCCCCTGGCGCCAACGGCGACGATGGCGACGGCGGCGACGGCGATGGCGACAACAACAACAACAACAACAACAACAACAACAACAACAACAACAACAAATACTAGCACGTGGGGACACTCCGTTCTCACCAGTGCCAGGGTTTTCATAGGAGGCGGGCAATACCCCCACTTTGTGGGGGGGCCGGTTCAAGCTCTACCAAATTTCCAAACGACTCTTCGCCACCACCCACACCCAGCTTCCCGCCCTATGACGTTCGGACACTTCACTTCGTGGCATGCGGACGACCGTGGCTACTATTCAGGGCCCCGCGGCCGACGACGACGGCGTGCGCGCGCGAAGAAAAAACGAATGTGTCCCGCATGGTATTATTTGACAGGGATGATGGCCCTGGCAGGTGCGCAACCGTTGTCGCAGAAGTTCGAAAAAGTTGCTCGCAAAAGCCCGTTTGACAGAAATGTTTAAAAAGTGTTGGGTTTCCTACGAATCCGCAAGAGCGCGCGGGATGAGATTTTGACAATTTTTTGTTGAAAAACCATTGGTTTTTTGATGTTTTTATGTTAAAATCGCTGCGAACACTAAGGTTTTGGAAGGATTTCGTCTTGCGCGCGCGAATGTCCACTTTACCTTATTTTTTGCAAGGGATTCTTGAAATTTGATTATATTAGAACAAGAAATGTCATTTTCTATTGTTTTTTGCAAGGGAAAGCGGATTACAACAAAACAACCGGATCCTGTACACACCCTCTTTTCTGAGGCTTCCTCACGAAAATGATGAAAATGTAGCTGCGGCCTAGGCGGCGCAGGGGGGGCGCGCACCAGGGGGCCCAACAATAATTATTCTTTAGAATAAATAATGTTCAACAACAACAACAACAGCAACAACAACAACAACAACAGCAGCAGCAGCAGCAGCAACAACAACAACAACGACGACGACGACAACACCACCACCACCACCACCAACAACAACAACAACGACGACGACGACGACGACGACGACGACGACAACAACAACAACAACAACAACGCGACGCGACGGCCGCTACGACGACGATGACGAAGGCGACGGCGACAACCCCGGCGTTGGCGACGGCGATGGCGACGGCGACCCTCCCGCGGGGCGAGGTGCGCGAAGCAAGGGCATCTGCGCGGCCCCGCTGGTGACCCAAGGGCGCTCCGCCCCGTTCTCTCTCGGGCTCGAGTCGCGCTCCCCCGCTGGGGTTCCATCCTGGCGAATTGTCCGAGCCGCGTCCAGCCGTGGCGATGATGGTCCCCCACGAGGCCCGAAAGACGTAGGAGCAGACTTTGGCGGCACGCACAACGGGGCGGCGCGATGGAGTTGGCCTTCTAAGAAGGCGGGGGCCGCTTAGAAGTCCGAGGCCTTGAGGAGGGGGAGGAGGAGGAGGAGGAGGAGGAGGAGGAGGAGGAGGAGGAGGAGGAGGAGGAGGAGGAGGGCTTCTGAGACAGCCCCTGAAAACGCTGGGAGGGCTTCTCAGACGCCTTCGGCTGCCTGCTTAGACCCCCGGCTTCAAGACCGCCTCCCTCGCGCCACCCGCTTGTTCGCGCCGCCGAGGGGCCCCCCCAGAAGACGAAACCGAACACCCTCGATCCTCGCTCGTAAAGCATCATGTCCCAGAACTTTCTACGATCCGAAAACCGTTCCCATAATGCAACGTCTGACAGACATCTCCGTTGGTTGGGCGCCTCGATCAAGCTACAAGAAAGCTGCGGCCGACCTCTCGAAACACAAAACGTCAACCCATCATTACAAGGGACACGTTTCCATACAGGGAAGATGGAAAAAAGTGAAAGTTGGAAAGCTGACAGGGATGGCCAGGGATGGAAAACTGGCAGGGGCTGACACGACCCGGAACCCGCTGGGACGAGGTCGCCAGGGCCAGGGGAGGCAGCCCCACGCACCTCCTTCAGGAGCAGGTCCGTGAGGTTGTCCACGTTCTCCGTCCCGGCGACCACAGGGGTCTCCGGCGGCACCCTCTCCCCGCTCTGCCTCCTCCTCCTCCTCCTCCTCCTCCTTCGCTCTGCCTGCTCCTCCTCCTCCTCCTCCTTCCCCGATCTTCCTCACTCCCTCCTCCAGCTCCCTCCCTCTCTCCCTCCCTCTCTCCCTCCGAGGAGGATTGGGAGGACTGGCTCTGGGAGGAACATCGACCTCGAACCGGCGATGCATCGCCGATTCCTCGGCGACAAAAGCGCTCAATGGCGAAACCGCGCGTTCATGGGCAGGGGGCGGGCCCAAGGCCCGGCTGGGCGATGAATGGGCCGTGGGCATCGGGGAGTCGATGCTTCCCCTGCTGGGACTATCCCTCAAATGCTGCCCCTGACCCTATTGGTGATATAAAAGAAATCCGCCGACCCTGTCGGCGTGTGTGGGGTGCCTGTCCGGCCCCGTCGACGGGGAGCCTTCTTTCGTCCCCTCCTTCCAATCCTCTTCTCCCGTCGGGGGAGAGAGAGGGATAGAAAAAAAGAGAGAGAGAGAGAGAGCACACTTCCTCGTTCGGGGAACGGGTTCGCAGCTTGAGGGAATTCCATCCACGTCCTCACTACGTCAAAGGGACGCCCCTTCCCTTGATCCCTTCCCCCGCGGGGGGGGGTCAAATTCGCATCGCCTCTGGGGGTCCTCCTCTCCCACGCCGGTCCTTCTCCGGAGCGCCGCTCCTCCTCGGGTCTTCCTCCCCAGGTGGGGAGGAGTCCCAAGGGGGAGGAGGGGAGTCAGATACGCATTCGTGCCTGGGGGTCCTCCTCCCCGTCCCCTCCCCTCTCCCACGCCAGTCCTCCTCGGGTCCTCCTTCCCAGGGGGGTGGCCCAGGGGGGAGTCATTTTCCTCCTCCTCCTCCTCCTCCTCCTCCTTCTCCTCCTCCTTATCTTCGCCTCTTCCTCCTCCTCCTCCTCTTCCTCCTCCTCCTCCTCCTCCTCCTGGTCGTCGTCGATATCTTCTTGGGTCGGCGGCAACGGCCGTCAGGCCTTCACAATAACCGATACCGCTACTCCCTGGCCCTCTCCTGGGGTGCGTTCTGACCAGAATCTCAAGGCGAATCCAGCGGTGGCGACGAGAGCCTCCAAGGAGGCCAAGAAAGGCGAAAATGAGGGAAGGGTTGAGGTATGGGTACCTCTCCCTCCCCTGACTTCTGTCTCCCTCTCTCCACGAGTCGCGGCCACAGGGGGCGGCCCTGAGCAAACGTCCATCGAATCCGCCACGCCCAATTGCGCGCGCTGGCACGTGTGCATCCTGTGGCCTCCATCCTTCGAGGCCTGCGGCTTGCGGTGACTAAGTTATCCTCGAGTGTGATGTTCGGCGCATCGGCCAACCCATGCACCGAAACAAAAGGAGTGAGCCCCAAACCAGGCGTAGCTGCCATGGGGTGATCCACAGAAAGGCAGCCAGGTGAGATGGCACCAGATTCCAATCCAAAAGTGCCTCGAGATTGCGATGCTGTAATGGAGTTATGGGAGACGCGATGGACTCATCAACAGATAGTTAAGTGAACATACTGAATGTTACGAGCGTATGCGAATGAATTGATAGCCGGTGGAATGAGGGAGGAGTCATGGAGTCTAAACCCACATGAGGGTCCGTATAACATAGAGACGATAACGGTGAAGGACTATGATTCGCAGTCGTCTTCGGTGAGTAAGCGCGGCCATGTGCGCGGCGAAACCTTGCCCTTGCAACCGTCGGTTGCGACGACCACCATTTCCACGACCCTTCGCCCGTCGGTGGGAAGCTCTCCGTCATGCCCGACGCACTCGCCGTGCAGGTTTCTTCATGAACCGTCTCCAACGGCGTTCTGCGCGTTGGCAGCCCAGGAATAAATATTCAACGGTTTCCGCGTCGCCGAGGCCGGGGTGGAGTCGACATGGCTATACGTTCGGTTCCGTCTGATGATAACGCGTCGGTAACCTCATGCCCGTGAGAATAAACACTGGGGATAATAAAGTTCGGGGTTCAGGGAGAGATAATAAAAGTAGCCCAGCAGACCTCAGCATAATCTCGAAGTAAGAGATGATCAAGAGGAGACCAAGCCGAGCACGTTTTGAGACATCCTTGGCGTTTAGTTTTCATAGAAATATCCTCATCAATGGCTTATCTATCCGCAAACTATTGCTTATTTCGCTTGAGACACAGTCAAACTATTGCTTATTTCGCTTGAGACATCAACCCCATGGATAATCAACCCCAGGGATAATCAAGTTCAGGCGAGCGTGGGGACAGATAGAAATATAAAAGAAGAAGAGAAGAGTAGAATAATAATAAGAAGAGAAGAAGAAGAGAATAATAATAAGAATAAGAGAAGAAGAACGGAAAACTTCAAAATTCCAAATCTATCAATTTTAATTTACAAACGCTTTATGAAAATCAATTTTGTAAGTGCTCATGTAGGGTAGCTCATGTGCTTCAGTTTCCATGGATAATCAACCCCAGGGATAAAAAAAAGTTCAGGCGCGCGCGGGGATAGATACAAATATAAAATACGGATAAAATACGAGATAAGTGTGATCGCTTCGCTTGATGTTGCTATATCAACATCGCTTGATGTTGCTATCTCAACATAGCGTTTCGGGGTGATAATGAAGTTCGGCCTCAGCGCTCGCCGCCCAATTTGAATTTTGTATAGGGCGACGATAATCAACTCTAAACGCTGAAGGGGGGGGGTCCCTTTATTATCATCGGCATGCGGTTATATGTGCCGGAGTCGACGGGCGAATCTCCATTGGAGGTTGAGCCCCGCAGGGCAGTCTGGCTCTCGAGAGCCGCGCGCGGTTGGGGCTTGGAAGGCGGCCCCCAGCTTTGTTGCGTCGATGGCGTCAGGTAGATTATGCCAGCCCCGTGGCCCTGGGGGGCCGTCGATAGCAATGCAGCGGCCTCCTCTGGGTTGCGCGGGTCGTCCGCCCTTGCGTTGCTGGGCGCGGCTGCGCCCCCGCAGGCGTTTGTCGCGCATGTGTTCGCGTATGCGCACTCTGTGCCTCCCAGCGATTGCAGGGGGCGCGTTCAGCCAGATGACCAAAACCACGCATGCGGCCCAGCAGTTCGCAACATTGTCGCCGAATCCGCGGCGTCCGACAGTTGAGAGGCTGAAGCATTTGAGCGGCCCTACCAGGGCCGAACCTTGAGCTCTGAAGAGCACTGTTGTGAGTAACTGGCGGTTCGGGATGGCAAAGCCGCCTGCGTCGCCCTCAAGATGGGCCATTTCGAACCAGGCGAGGATCGAGCCCGTTCTCTCGCCCGGCTCGGGCCTGAAGTATACGAGCGCCGTCGCCGAGGCGAGCTGTCGCTCATCCTGAAGGTTCTCGAACTTGGCGCATGCGAGAAACGCGACGTGCGTGCCGGGGTCCACGTGGACACCTTGCATCGGCGCGCCGTAGTTGATGATCTGGGAGGGAATTCGCATCGCAATGGCGCGCGCCAACTCACCCAGACCGCGCTGCAAACGCGCAGCTTGTTATTATGGGGTCACGCGTGCGCTCTGAACGCTCAGCCACGCATGTACTTCACGAGTGAACTCGAGGCATGATACGTTACTTGAGGGGTCCCAATATGGGCTCCTTGTTGCATGGTCGCCTCCGTAGTTGTGGTTGCCACGTTGCATGTATCCTATGGCACATCCGATGACCAACCAGAGAATGCTGAAGGTAACGTAGTTTGAACAAGGATTTCATGGATAACCCAGAGCATTATCATTGGTCGTCTTCGGAGTGTCCATCGCCGTTCGGCGGCGACTTGGCTGTGGAGACGTATCCCCATGTTGGTTCAAGAATGCGGGTTTCACGCTTCCGCGTAGTGGAAGCTGGTACCTCATGTTGTTCCCGAGCTCATCGTAAGTTGGGCCGAAGTAGCGCAAAGCCAGGGCGTATGCGCTCTTCGGAGTGGTCAAGCGGATGTCGCCCGTAGTGGTTTCAGCGTGTCCGCTGAGAGCGTTTCCGCTTGCTTGCCAATACTCACGCTCAGGCGTCGCAGTGATGTCGGCAGCATATACCAAGCCGTGCCGTGGATAAGTATTGCGATAGACAGGGCCAGCTCCGCAACCACGAAAAAGTAGGATTAGGACCATGTGGTAATAGGCTGGAAGGTAGATGAGAGATAATGTACCATCCAGAAAAACTTTTTTTGTTGCAGACAAATCCATCTCTCAAGAATCCGCTGCCCCTCAAGGAGGCTATTCTGACCCCCACGCACGGCTCACATAACTAAGCAGCGAGCAAACACCGGCAACGGCGCAGGGAGCGCAGGGTTGTCCTGCGAACGTGGCCGAAATTCTGTGAGAGAGGCTGATCGGGTCTTGTTTAAGGTGCGATCGCAGATTGCTGCGTCCAGTCCATCCAGGCAAAGAGGACGCCGGCGTCTTGAGCCAGACACCGACGGCACGTTCGCTATGCTCGCTATACATGCCCTTCTGAACCCCTATTTCAGAGTGTCAATGCCTTTGCGCTCAAGATGGCCCGACATTAATTACAAGATGCGTCCCCGACGGCCAAGATGGCCCACGATGGCCTCCAAGATGCCTCCACGACGGCCAAGATGGCCCCAAGAGGTTCCAACGTTGACCCCAAGATGCGCCCATAATGGCCCCAAGATGGCCCAAAAGGTCCGCAGGAGGCCTTCAAGACGGTCCAAGAACTCCCCAAGAGGGCCTCCAGGAAGGCCCGAAGAGGTCAAAATCATAGATCTTACTTTGGTTTTTGAAGGATTTTAGGGTTTGTGTCTTTTTGGCCTTCCGACGGCCCAAGACAGCTCAAGACGGCCCCCGAAGATCGCCCCAAGATCGCCCAACAGGCCTCCAAGATGGCCCCAGAAAGGTCCAAGAGGCATCCCACAAGACGGTTTCCGACTGCGTCAGACGTGGCTGGAGCGCACCAAGAGAGGCCCGAGGAAGCCTCCAAGAGGCCTCCAAGAGGCCCCCAGGAAGATCCCAGGAGACCCCAAGAGTGCCCAAAGAGGCTCCCGAGAAGCCTTCTCCTCCTGTTCCCTCCCTCTACTCTTCTTCTTATTCTTAGTATTATTAGAATAAGTATTAGTATCATTCTTATTCGTATTCATAATATTATTAGTACTACTAGTATTACTACATTTATTAATATAACGACTAGTATTCTTATTACGAGTATCATTACTGTTAGTTGTGCTATTCTCGATAATACTGTTTTTAATTATAACATTGATAATATTGTTGTTATTATTCTTCTCATTATTATGTCTATTATTCTTCTTCCTCCCCCGCGTGCTCCCCGAAAGGTTTCCACAAAGGCTAAGGGAACAGATACTTAGTCCGATAGCTTGGCCGAGCCGTGGCAACCACGTTCGGCCACATCGGCGCTTCCGAAAAAACAGGGGCCGGCAGTGATTCGCCGTAGGCGTCTTAGAGGATATAAGCAGTCGTAATAAGAATGGGATGAAGAAAATAAGACACAACACAAGCATAAACTTTCGAATGTCCGCGCCGAATTCGTGGATCGGCCCTGGACTCGACTCCAATCCCTGACGCAGGGGCGGCGCCAGAGGCGCCGCCAGGGGGGGTGGCAGCGCCGCTCCATCGACGCGGATCTAGGACAGTTTCTGCTTGTGCCGTCTGCTTTTTGTCGACGCATGCTTTTCTTTGCCGTAGACTTCCCGATCGCTTGCTCAACAGTCGCCGCAGAAGGTCTGCACGATTTGTAAACGCTATCCGCAGTCGTCGTAAAAGCTCTGCACGATTTGCAGACGCCCAGCGATGGAAACTACGACGTGCCGTCGGGTGCTCTTCTCCCCTGCGGCAAAGCCGGCGGCCATGGACGGCGCACAGGCCGTTGACGCCAGGGCTGCCTTACGCTCCACTCGGACTAGAAGGCGCCCAGGGGAGAGCAATACAGGTATCAAGGGGCGCCAGTGGTCCATGCTGAAGGGGCCCACAAACACATAAATAAATACACACAAATAAAAATATGCCCCATATGTTCCCATATTTTCTGAGTTCTTGTTTTCCCCACCACTTCCCATATGTTCCCATATTTTCCCATATTATTTTCCCGTGTCTGTGTGTTTTTCCCCCTCCTGAAATAGAGGTATCCAGGGGCGCCAGTGGTCCACGCCCTCGGCGAGGCTCCCGGGCGAATGCGTGCAGTGAGTGCCCGCCGCTGGGCTATTCGCCCCCATCGTCGCTTCCGACATCTTTCAAGGGGCACAAGGATACACACACACACACAAATAAATACACAAACGTAAAATGATGCCCCATATTTTCTCATATTCTCTGGGTTTTCGTCTTCCCGCCCAATTCCCATATTTTCCCATATTTTCCCCGGCTCCTCCTCACTCTTTCCCTTAGGTCGGGCGTGTACCCCTACATAGGGAGTTTCGACGAAATAGAAGATACCCCCAAGATACCCCAAAAAGGTATTCTAAACAAATACTCGAAAAGTAGTCCCCGGACTACTTTTGGACTATTTTTTAATGGGGGACAAGCCCAACTTAATCTTTCCCCCCCCCCCCTCTCGCCCCCCAGACCACAGGGCCACAGGCGCACCGGGCGAGCAGAGGAGCGCCGGGGGACACGGCGAGGAGCTGCGCCGGGCAGGACCCACGGGGGCGGCGGCCGACGGCTGGCCTGGGCGCCCGCGCTCGGACCCCCGCTCGGGCCTCGCCTGCGGCGTGCCAGAGCAGTGGGCCCTGGCCCCCCCCCCTTGCGAAGCGGGTGTTTATCCATATCCACCGCCTGGGGGCCGACGTCCTGGTGTCCCAGCGGGCGGTGGATGTGGATCTAGTTCGGCCCCTGGGGGCTCGAATATGTCCACAGCCACCGCCTGCCGAGGCTCCGAAAACTGACCCTCCAGGCGGTGGTCATGTATCAATTCCCGCCTCGGATCCCTCCCCTCTTCCTCACTCCTCCGACCTGCTGCAGCTCGCACTAGGGCCTCAGGCGATACCCAGGCCGGCTCTCTCCACCTCGTCCCTGTCCAGCCGGTGGAGAATGCCAGTGCAGCCGAAGTACACGGCCTCCTTCTTCAAAGCCGCGCGAGCCTTGTCGTCGTCTGGGGGCTGCCAGGCCTCGCCGTCCCGCATGAACCGGAGGATGTGCGTGAAATTGATCGGGTCGCTCTCGAAGTCCACGCCGCCGCCTTCGGCGCCAGGTGGCGCTGGCTGCTCGGTGGCGGCGGGGCGGGCGGACCTTCCAGGCTGTGGTCTCTGCGCCGAGGGTGGCGAAGACGGCGCCGATGGTGTGACCTGTGCTGATAAGATGACGCAAAAAAAAGCAGGGAGCGTGTGTTCGAGATTTCAAAATCGATCTTTGTTTCTCCGTTGGGGGGTCCGTTTTGCCTCCTTTTTCGGGGCTATCGGATATCGTTCGCGCCCCTGTCGGTTCGGCTCAGTTTTGCACTACCGTCGGGCTGCCTCTGCCTGGGACTGCCGTTTCCCCCCCGCTCCGGTTGGCCGAGCACCAGAGAGTTGCAAATGGACGCGTCCCAGCGTTCTAAACATCAATTATAGGGAGCCCACAAAGGACGTACGCGCCCAACTATGTACATGAACACGGCCCCTCGACCCGCGAGACCGGCCGCGGGATACGAACATTCGCGCAAAGCGAACTCTCGAAACCAGCGTGGATTCATGTACGTGTACGTCCCTCTTTCGCTCCACCCGCAAAAATGACGGCCGCGACGCCCTCTCGCGAACCGAAAACGGCCAATTCACCAATCGACGTGTCAGGGTAGGAGGTCCGTCCAGCCCCGAAATTCAGGACCCGTGCCTGCGCGAGCAGGGGCGGCGGGCGGCGTGGCGCCGATGGCGGCGCCTCCGGCGCGGCCTCCGCGGGCCCGCACTGGGGCTGCTGGGCCCTGGGCGTCGCGCTCCGCGCCCCGCTGCCCGACCACCTGCCGGCCCCGTCGGGCCACGCGCCCACGGCGGCCTCCACGGCCTTGCGGGCGATCGCGGAGGCCTCCCTGTCCACGTCCGCGGCGCTGCAGCGGCCGTCCTCCGACTCCACCACGGAGCAGGCGCGCAGGTACGACACCGCGCTGTTGGCGCCCCCCGCCGCGGGGGAGCAGGGCGGGCCTGCGGAGGCCGCCGACCCCAGGAGCGGCTGCGGCGCCACTTGTGCGAGGGGCGGGGAGAGGGTGCCGCGGCAGTCCTCCGGCGGCCCCGCGCTCGGCGCCGCGGGCCGGTACGGTTTCGTGCCGCCGCCGCCGGCCAGGCGTGCTTGGTCCTGGGCGAGCTTCTGCTTGAGCGCCTCCAGGGAGCTCAGCCCCGCGCACAT